AAGTTATATGTTACTGTTGGACCAATATAAAGGCCAAATCCTGCCAGGGAAGGTGGGGGCTCATGCCCTTGTCCACCTCTTCTTCTCCCCACTCCTCTCTGCTCTGGTCCCTGCTCACAACTCTGTACCCTTAGCCTTTAGCCCTCACACCCACCCTGCCCTGAGCCAGTTCAACCCACAGACCTAACAGAAAACTGTCCACTTTTCTGCCAAGTTGGCTTTTTGTTCATTTATCTAGCTCAGGGACAAACAACCACCAAGGAAGGTGCAATGCTGGTGGAGGAGGAGGCAAAGAAAACACAGGGAAAAATGCCACTGAGCTATTTAGATGGCTCAGGATGTGCCTTGTTCATTCTTACAGAATCAAACACAGGTTTTCCATCTGTTTGTTTCCGTGTTTGAGTTCAGCAGAAATTTAGAATGCCTGCACAGACATTCCCTCCTGGTTAGTCACTCAGGGATGCTGTGAGCCCTGCCCTGATGTCAGGTTAAGGTTCAGAACCTTTGGCACAGAGGATGTCAGCTGCTTCCTTTCCCTGTGCCTCACTTTTTCCTACTGTGAAAGGGAGATGGTAATTACTGACTCAGGAGACCTACACAACCTGATTCATCAGTGCAGGTAAAGTTTTGTCACAAAAGGAAGAGGACAATGTCACTGCAGCAGCTCTCAAATCCTGATGGAGAGTTCATCCCCTGCATCCCTGCACTGAAATCCCTCTCCGAGGCTCAGTCTGTGCCCCTGCCCATCCACAGCCCAGGGGTTGGGTGATGCTGCAGGATCTGTTTTAGGTTCTATGGTGACAGTAGGTCAGTATCCTCTGATGGACCTTATGCTTATGCCTTCACCTTCTCTACCTGTGATCCATTCCCCTCTCTAATAACATTAAGTCTGCAGGATGAAATTTTTGACAGGGTCTGACTGACTTTAAAAACTCCTTTTTCAGGATGACTAAAGGCTCCACTCAAGTAAAATTCCCTACCATTGCCACACTGAACTAATTACAGCCATGCCACCAAAATTACCCACACCAGACCCGAAAAATGCTCTGGGATAGCTTTCCAGGCAGTCAAAACGCTCTGGCAGCTCTGGCTCCGAGTCCCTGGGAGAAATGGACCAAAATCCCTCTCCCCCTGGTGATTCAGGGAGACCTCAGACCTCCTTTTCCCGGCGCTGCAGTGACTCCTGCCTCCTCTGCGGCTCCTCCCAGGAAGTCCCAGCAGCAGCCGAAGCTGTCCCGGCCGAGGGAGAGCGCAGGATGTGTGTGAAGGCAGCCTGGGCGGCTGTGCCAGCCTTCCACAGCGAGAGGCAGCACGCTCCAGCTTGATGTAAGTCGTTTTTCCCCGCGTTGTCCCCTCGGGCAGCTGTCCTGTCCCATGTGTGTGCGCTCGCTGCTGTTGCTGCTTTCCTCGCCCCTGCTCTGCCTTGGTGCTGCTCCCCACGGGGTGACACTTCCAGGGGGAATCCGTGTCCCCAAAGCCTTCTGTGTGCACCCACGAGCAGCTTGCAGAGCATTGGGACGGAGGAATGGATAGTGTCCCTGGGCTGGAGGGCAGGAGGTGCTGAGTGACCAGTCCCCGTGGTGACCTTTCAGCTGTCACCTCCAAAATCCTCAGTGTGCTCTGTCCAGTGCACCCTGCCAGAGCCAGAGGTGTCCTGGTCAGCTGCTCCCACTGGCGGCAGCACCTTCACCCTGGTGCTGCCTCCAGCCCTGTCTCCTGCACCATAGAATCATAGAATCAACCTGGTTGGAAGAGACATCAAAGATCATCAGTCCAACCCTACCGTGGTTGCTAGGCCGTGGCCAAAAGTGCCGCATCCAGTCTCACCTTGAAAACCTCCAGGGATGGTGAATCCACCACCTCCCTGGGCAGCTCATTCCAATGCCTGATCACTCTCTCTGGAAAAAATCTCTTCCTAATATCCAACCTCAACCTCCCCTGGCAGAGCTTGAGTCTGTGCCCTCTTGCACTGCTGCTGGTTGCCTGGGAGAAGAGACCAACCCCCAGCTGACTCCAACCTCCTGTCAGCTCTGTAGTTTTCTGTAAGCTTTCCATGAGCTTTCTGAAGCTCTTTTGACTGCCACACTTTTGTCACCTGTAGGGTCAGTCCCCTCATTCCAGTACTCATTCGCTTTGCACCCCAAAGCAGTGTCCCCCCCATCTCAGTGCCTGTGCCCAATGTGCAGCTGTCACACACACAAGGGCAAAATGGAGATTTCACAGTCCTGAGCAATATGATGCTGTGGCTTCCCGTTTTTCCATAAATTTTGCTGGTTTTCCCCCACCTGACAAGATGTGAAATCTCATTGGTCTCAGCTGGCAGCTGCTTTGCACTTTTCATAGAAGTAACAGACAGTGAGGACTCACATCCTGTGTGTAGTGAAAGCTTCAAACCTGTGTTAATTAATATTTAGCAGCTGGGTAAATTAATCCTTGGCTGGTCAAAATAAAGGTGCAAATGCATCTCCAGACTCACTGCTTTTATCTCAAGTACCTAACAAACATTCACTTATTTTAGTTTAAATAATGCATGTTTAATGCTCTAGCATAGTTGAGGGAACCTGAGGTGAAGGAACAGGCTGCATCAGACAGAGAATTAATTTGTTTGGGGCCTTGAAGGAAGGATAAACAGCAAAATCACTTTGGAGATGGAAGTTGACATCTCGTTAATCAGAATTTAACCTATGACTAAACAGCCCAGAACTGCAGCAGCTCAGAGGCCAGAGAGTCTCAAAAACAGCAGTACTCTTGCTTTGATGTTTGGGGCTTTTTTGTAGCTTAAGAACATGAAGAAAAAGGAAGAGATGGGTTTGTGTGGAGCAGGTTTGCCCATTTCACTTGCCAGCCCTAAGAGCCAGGCAGGGTGTCCAAACAGCCCTGCCAAGGCACAGCCCCACCAGTGAGGAAGGTGGAGGTGCTGCAGGGGAGGAAGGGCAGAGGTAAGAGATGCCTGGGATCAATGAAACTGTGTGGGAAGCTGATGCTGAGTACCAAATCCCCAGAGAATAGCTTCTCACTGGTGTCCATACTGCAGAGGAAAGCAGTGGGAGCCTGGACTGGGGAGAGAAGAGGAAGGAGTCATGGTTGCCCTTGTGATCCTGGTTTTGTGTGTGTCACAGGGCACAAAGTACTGTTTGACACTGCAGTGACTACACACAAAGCAGCTTGTTTTGCCTTTTCCTTTCTGTGGCAGAACAACCACAGCTTTGGGTCTGGACCTGCCCCAGGTACATGGAGTGTTTACTCTACACCTGCAGCCATGGAGCAGTTGTCTCACCTCTCTCCTTTGTGTCTGGGGAGTTGCAGGTCTGTGCCAGCAGGAGGGAAGCAGCAGGAGCTGTGGCATGCTCAGGAGAGTGGGACCGACCCTGAGTCACTTCTTGCTGGAGAGAAAGAACAGCACTGGATATAGCTTGTGCTCCAGAGAGGTATGGAATTCCCAGCAGGACTGTTCCTGGCTGGCAGCCTGTCCCTGGCTCAGGCTGCAGCAGTGTGGAGGCCAGGGGAGCTCACTGCCCAGCAGCTCACCTTGGCAGTGAGAGCAGAGAAGACACATCAGGAAGAGCCACCTTGGTGCAATCTCCTCTGTACCTCCTTATTTCCAGGGAGCCTGTTTAAAGGCAACACCTCATAAGCAAGGAAATGTCCTTCATACAGGAGAAAGCTCATTGTTTGTGGGGTTGCTTCAACTGATGGTGTCAGCATCCCTCTCAGAGATCCCAACATGCAGAGGAAGTCAGTCACATGCAGCAGGGAGTCAGTGGAGGAAGGTTGTGGACACCAAGTCTTCTACATTTGCACTCAACTCTCCTGTCTCTGCACCTGGAGAAACACATTGTTCAGTTCAGGGAGCAGAAACAGATTTGGGGGCAGTGTTGCGCTCCAGCCTGACAGGCTGCCATGGCAGCATCACACAGGATGGGATGGGATGTCAAAAGAAAGTATTTGTCATTTCCCTTCCTGAAAAGGCTGGAACACACAAGGCCTTTCCTCAGAACTAGGCATTTCTAGGCTAAAAACACCTTTTTCCCATTGACTCGCATCATACTTGCTGATCTGTTAAATTCCCTGACCTGTGGCCAGCAGCAGCCCCACCTTGAGAGAACAGCACTGAGGCTGTTAATATTTCACCTCCAGCTATCTTTTACTTGTCAAGCCACAAATCCTTCTATTCCCACCCAAATCAGCTCACGTACTGAGTCTTGTGACCGGAACAGCCCTGAGCTCGTGCAGACAGAGCACAGCTAGGGCTGGGGGAGAGGAGTGAGGCAGCCCTAGACCCAGTGACTTCTGCTCACCCTTGGCTGCCTGCCTGGCACCATGGTGGAGCACAGAGTCCACCCAGTGCCCTCTGAAACACAGAGGTCCTCAGCAGGGTGTTCGCAAAGATCCCTAGTGTGGTCTGAAGCTGTACACAAATCCAAGGACTTCCACAGAAAATATCCTTGAGGCACTTCCCAAATTCTGGTGCAGCCTCGTGGGACCCGCAGAGGTGAGCAGGTAAGTGGGGTGTTCCTGCTGCAGCTGAGCCTGGGGATGGGGGCTGACCTGGGATCCCCCACAACATCCTGGCGTGGCAGAGCACAGACCCTCTCCCCTCACATCCCAGCTTTGCACCTTACCTGCTTTCACATGCCCTCCTTGTCCTGTTCAAATGTATTTTATTTGCTCGGGTGACAATGGTTTTCTTGGCTTGTTGTTTCAGAGCTGCCCTCCTGGTGCCCCCACACAGGCTCTTCTTGGTGCACTGAGCACCATTTCTCTCTGGTTTCCAGTCCCTTTGCTGTCTTTGTGCCTTTTCCCTGCACTGTTGAGTTGTTAAATTCTGTCTCTGCTGCTTTTCATCATCCTCGTGATAAATTCCCCATCGAGCACAGCTGACTTTCTCCCACTGTGCTTACCCAACTGGAAGGAAGATTTTGCACTCAATGTTTCCTGCTGTCTTTCTTCCCACCCCCCTGAGCTGTGATGCACAAGGAAATTACATACCAGTCAGGCACACAGTACCTCAGTGTCTGCATACACCAGACTGACCTGTGTGCTGTGCTCTCTCTTGCCTGTGCAGTTGCTGCCTGGTTTTGACATGAACTTTAAATACAAAACCCAGTACGTTTTTTAGGATCTTACACTGGGCACTTCA